TTTTGATTCATCGTACATCACTCTGATTGCATTGACTATCTCTGCTGGTATTCGATAGTGATGTAAGATGGCAAACATCATTTCGGGGTCAATTGAATCAAAGGTTTTCCTGACGTCAATAAATGTTATGTATATTTGGATGTCCTGTGCATTTGCTTCTTTCATGATTTTTCGCAAAATAAGAATTTTTTGGTTGCATCCACGACCTGCTCTAAAGCTTGCTTGACTCTTTCGTAGCATCTTATCGATAGGGTTTCGTATTCGGTGTTGTAATTAATTACAAGAATCTATACTTATTTTATTATATTATGGAGTTATTTCATTAAGTTTTTGTAAAATTTGATAAAATATATCATCAAGTAACAAGATTATGAATATATGTATAACAAATGCTAAGTTTTCCTTGTTCTGGTCTAAACTTACACACAAATAATGATGATGTTGATGGTGTTGTTTTGCGAACAGTTTCAAAACTTTAAGAGGTAAATATATGCTTGAGATTAGTTAGAGTATTAAGAAACGTAAGAATAATTGTTTATGACTTTGACATTTCTAATTACAAATCAATTTTGATTTGCTTTATTGCTTTATTGCAATTTGTAGCCATTCTAACATGACTAAACTCGTTCTAGACTAGACGCGTTTCGTTCCATCATAGTAGCTAGAAATAAAACACCAACCTAGTGCAATTACTATCTCAATAGATTATATTGCAAACTAAGGTGTTTTTCAGATAATTCACAATAGCAAATTTTATTTGATAAAACATAGCGTTACTTTGCCATTAGGTGTGAATGGAGAGCCGACCTGCATCCGCAAGTCCGTGAGTATGTACAGGGGTGAGAATTTGTCAACTTGCAAATGCCAAAAAAATATGTACTTGTTACTGCAAGCACAATTGGCGAACTGGTCAGTATGAGTACATAATGTACACCATCTCTCACTACAACGAAATTAGGAACACCTAACTTGTACGAGGCTAGACGAAAGGTCTACAAATTCTCATTCCTAGACATACTAACTCACTTGCGGATACTGGTCAACGCATTCAACCCATTGGCGTAGTAAATCTCTTTCAAACAAAATTTGTTTTGGTAAATTGTCTTGAAAATCACTTCAGTTAGCATTTATATCTACGATAAAAATGTGCTGGCGAATATTGTTAAACAATTCAATGTTTGAAACATTTTCTTATTTTTGTAAATAAATTCAGTGTGGAACAATTATTATCATCATTTGAATGCAAAAGAACTATAGAAAAACTCAGACATTAAATTTAATTTTAAAGAACATTAAAATTTTTTTTCAGACCATAATTAAAATGATACTTTTTAAGCTATGTTTATTTTACTTAAAATAATTATCAAATTCAAAAAATTAACAGCACGAAATCCGAAATTTTTTTCATTACATCAGTCAGCTAAATCAATTGAATGATTTTTAGTACATAGCTGAATTTTCTAATTAGTACCTATTTAAAATTTTTCACCCAGATATTTGAAATTTTCAAACAATTTTTTGCCAGGCGTTTTTATTTTAGAATATGATAACTAAACTAAAAATTTTTCCTAATTTAATAAAATATTCTCAATTAAGTATAAAAATATAATATTCATGTTTTTTCAAATTAATTTAATCAACAACTCAGTCGAGCTTCAATGGGATCCAGGAAAGATTAGGGGGATACGTGGTGGCTCAAGGGAATAATTCAGAAGAGAATCCAGAAAGATGGGGGATCAAGAGAGATGCAACATTTTAAACAAAGTTTTATAAAAAATTAATAAGGTTCTTTTATTCACTAACAGTAGCTGAGTCTTTCAATAACAAAAGATTACTAAATATTACTTACTCCTCAGCAGGAAATAACAAAAAACTTGAAACGTCCGTACCCACTTGCTCATATTTTGGAAAAAACAAAATCTTATTTGTTCATCACCATCATCACCATATCATCGTAAGTAAACAGCCGCAAAATTTTGTTTGTTCACCACCGTCGTACAGGCATCGTCATAGGGAAACGCTCGCATGCATTGGAAACCCAGTATTGAAAATCAATAAAAACTCTTTATGAGCCTGGCTGCTGGTTACTTGCGATGTATTGATCACCAGCCTCGCATCATCTTTCTTCCCTTTCTCCTCCTCATCATCGTTCTGGTCGGTGAATGCTTTCCATGTTGTTTACCGAAGTCATCTTCATCGTCATCGTCATCATCGTTATCTTCCTCATCAACACAATCATCACTACTATCCCCGCCATTTTATTGTTGTCCAAGTGACCACACAGTAATTTTTATTTTCATAACAGGTAATGCAGTTAGTGCATCATTTTCGGTTAAAATTACTTCGCCATGAGAATCTTCACTGTTGCAATCATTCGATCATCTTCACCATTGTCACTAACGTCATCATCGTTGTAGTCGCTACTACAGCGATGGAATTCTGCAGTTAACCGTAGTCATTATCATCTTCATCATCGTCGACGTCGTCGTCGTTAGCAACCGCATCAGCACAATCATCACTGCAACCACTGCCATTTTATTGCGTTTGGTTAAATCTCTTTTCTATTAAATTATAATTCATTTGAAAATATTAATAAAAACCAAATTTATCTTTTCAGTTATAATACTTGCAACTTCACCACTGCAATGCTATTTTAGATTTTGAACACGATTTTCTTTTATTATGTATTTATGAAGAAATTTCCTGAAAGTAATTTCTGCGTTGAATCGTCGCTTTCGAACGAGTCCGTTGTATGCAATATGGGCTTCATCATTCAGCACTGATAGTGTCGCATTGCAGATAATATGCGTTCATCGATAGAGCCTGAGGGAGTGGCATCACTTTGTTGGGGTGTGCCTACTGGAAGCAACTGGATATCTCAATCTATCTAATACATTACAGATGTGACGTGCATTCATTCATTCTTTCACGCTTCTACTGCGCTTGATGATGACAATTCTGTTTTTGTTGCTGTTTTGTTTTTTTTTCTTTTTATATTTAGTATATTAATTTACAATAAACTTTTAGAAATATTAATACAGAAAAAAATTCAAAAAATAGTGTACATAGTTTTTTTGTTTTTCCACTTTGACAGGGAGCCAAAATTAAAAAATTTTGACTGGGACCTCCTGATCGGCCACTGAATGTTTACAATTAAAATTGTCCTATAAAAATTTATTAACATAACTTCCGTAAAATTTGAATTTAGTTTCTGTCAAAACTGGATCCACATTTTTTGGTGAAATAAAACAATGTAAAAAAATCCGGATCATAAAAGTTTAAAGTGGAATAACTAAACCAAAAATTATGTACTTCAAAAATTTTGCTTTTTTTGTTTCATACGCAAGATGGCAATGTTAAGATCACTTTTGCCTAGTGAAAGCAATGCATGCAAAAATTACTTTTACTCAATTTAGTTTTTCAAAAAATTTCATTTGCTGTAATTGTTGAAATTTGAAAAAATATGATTCAGTAAAATAATTACAGAAAATGCGACAGCATCTCAACATGATCTTCCTAATAAACGGGGCCCTATAGATGGCTGCAAACATTAAAATTGAATGGTTAACATGGCAAAAAATGTGGCTAAATAAAGTTTGTCATAGTTTTATGCACAGCTAGCACAACTTTGTTGATTCATACATGTTTTACTAAAGTGAAACGATTATTTATATACATTGGCTAAAATTAATCACGTCTAGTTTCAAAATCACAAGACTTTAAATAATGGACCAACTTGTTCTGCAGTCTATAAAAAAGGTCGCTATTTAAAACACGTATAACAAAAAGTAGTTAAAAGTGGTTAAACCACAAATTAACCTATTTGAACCTATTTGGTCTGTTCTATTTAAACTTCTTCGTAAGAAATCCTCTCACTCATTTTTTTCCACTCAACAGTATCATGACCCTTTTGTAAATAAAATGAATGCCTTAAAACATCTAATTCTCATTCTACTCCTCATAACTTTAATAAACTTTCTACTGAGTCTTTCTCTCTATTTACTCCTATAAATTTTCTAGAACTAACTAAAATTATTAATTTTATTTCATCTACAACTTGTTTTCTTGATCTCCTTCCTTCTTTCTTTAACATTTTATTCTATCATTCTCAAATTAGTTAATTTATCTCTTTCGACCTCTAATTTTCCTACTTCTTATAAAAGATCTATTTATATTCCTATTCTTAAAAACTCATGCTTAGATCCTTCCTCTTTATCTAATTATAGACCTGTTACTAATATTACTTTCATTTCTAAAATAATAGAAAAAATAGTTTATGATCAATTTTCATTTTGTTTAAACTCTAACACCTTGATACCTGTATCTCAAGTTGTCTATTTGAATGAGTTAGCCCCAATTCATAGGAATAAAGAAATAACGCCTGAGTTAGGGACTAACAGGCTAAAGGGGGGGGGGTAATGTTATAGCCGCTGCAACGGTAAAATTGCGCTACATTATTTGTTATTTTGATTATTCGTTATCTTTGTTATTATTGCTACACTTATAATTTTTAGATTATCAGAATCTCTTGTATATAAGGAGCAAGAGTAGCGAAGTCACTAGCAAGGTTTGAAGCGAAGTCGTAAATACGATTTATGTAGTTTCTTGGATTAGTTTAGTGTTTCTATTACTGTTGGCATTCAAATAAACGTTCAACAAAGTTTGCGTTTGAAGCAGTTGTCTTCATCTATCGGAAATCCTAAACCTACTGAATAACGATAACTTGACGATCGTTGGAAGCTACAACACTGGAGTCGGAAATATAGAAATCTTTGAAGTTATAACATTGTTGTTGGTAGTAATGAACGTTAAAGTGTTACAACAATTTATTATAAAGCGTGAAATAGTGCGCATATATAGGTACTTATGTGCACCTGTGAACAATGTTTGTAAAATTTTAACGAGCGTTATGAATGAACCAATTGCATTATCAATTTATCTATTTCTGATTTCAGTTGTGAATCTATATAATGGATTTAAAATATTTTCAAAAAATCAACTCATTTAACTTTCTGTTCAAACATTGCAATTCTTTTTTGAACGATGTTGCCAAGAGAATCTGTGGAATCGGAATCATCTGCTTCATGTTCTTCCTGCTTCACACTAACATAATCGCTGGACGAGGTTTTAATTTCTCTGAAAAAATTTGCATCTTCGTAGTCGTCTATAGCTGAATCTTTTAACGTTTTTGGCACCATCAAAAATTTTGTTTTCGAGCTCTGGTGGTCTTTTACGCTGACTCGACTGTGGATTTAAGTTAATAATGAAGTATTTAACAACTCTTCACCATCAATAAAAAATAGAAATAATAAGTTTAACATAATATTGTCCGGAGTGTTGTTATCGTTATCGGCTTCGTTATCATCCCTTTTTTTAATGTTTGAAATATTGAATTTTGGAGCATATGGACTGGAAAGAGGTCGGGACCTGACGTAAGTTGTCTTTTCTTCGCTGTATGTCGCTTTTTTCGTTTTCGTCTTTAAATAATTTATGATAATTTATTTAACCACATAAAAATAATCGAAGTCTAAAAAGCGAACAACAAAAAACAAACGTTATATTCGTTGGTTTGATCTCTGTTAGCGAAACCTTTGGTTGTAACATTTTTGGTTTCAGGCATTTTATCTAGATTAGTGGCAGAAGCATGCCACAAAGGTCGGCCAAACTGTTTGTTGTTGTTCCGCAGTGCTGGCATGAAGCCAAGTGGAAACAACTTCGTTTGTGAGAAAATGTTTGGAGATTTGTTTCTTGGTGGACTCAGCTGGTCGTCAGAAAGGTGCACCTCGTTCGCCATGTCGTAGCTATCTTTGGAATTAAAATAATGTTCCTTTAGTATGCAATTAAAAATAACTTCTATCATTTTATTACTTTCATCTATTTCATTCTGTTTACCACTGTACAAAGGATTTGTCTTGACCTTGATTAAAATATTTATAAGTTTGCTTTCGAAAAACCTGATCTATTAATCTAAAATAGAAAATCTAAATGAGTGAATAAAAAACATAAATACAATCAATTGAAACAATATGAAATATTACAGAAATTATAAATGAATAACCAACCTAAAATAGAAAAATTAAATTCCAGGATCGTTTACAAAGCCAACAATAATAAAATATAACCACGTGGAATAATAAAATATAACCACGTGCAATAATAAAATATAACCACGTGCTATTTGCATTTATATATAAGATGATACCAAAGTAATGAAACCTAATTTACAAGCTCAGAATAGAAATACATAGATAATTATATGAAATATAATTTACATATTTAATACATATTTGACCATAATTAAAACAAATAATATATATTTGACCTTAATTAAAAGAATTACCACATATTTGATCTTAATTAAAATAATTAGTATTATGTGACTTTAATTAAAACAATTAATTTACTTTTATTAATTGAAAAAATTAAAACACATTTGACCTTAATTAAAACTATTAACACATAACTGATATTTTCAAAATGTTGAAATTACGTTTGAAGGTATTTTTAAAAGCAAGGAATTTCTGTCTGCGTTATCTCCTCTCATATCTTCGCTCTTTGGTTCCATCCAAGTATTTGGCGCCTTAAAGTAACCATCATCATCAACTCGGTTGCTCATGAGAAATAATTTCAAATTGGAGATGAAATCCTGGTGGAGGTTTGGGTATTTGACGCTCAGCACATTTCTCGCTCTCCTGAAATCTTTCATTGAAAGTCAAATTTCATATTCACAACGAAAATCTTCATTTTATATTATGTGTTAATAATTAACACCAACCGTTATGATTTTCTATTATGTGCAGGACCTCGTCTGTATTAAATAAATATTAATTTATATAACAAAAAATGATGTAAACGCTCATCAAACCTGGAGTTAAATTGGACAGAAAATATTTATTTGACAGATCAATCTGCACACTTTTACTATTATAACAAATGTTGTTCAGTTTTTTAGTTAGTTCGTTTTGAATCTGAAATGGAATAATGTTTTAGTTTTGTTTAATATTCATCTAAGAAAATTTAACTTTCATACTTCTTTTTCCAAATTATCAAGTTTTTTCATTAATTCACCCTCGTGTTTTGTCAAAATTTCAACTCTGCTTGACCAATCGGCTTCAATTTTTTCACGCTCTAATAAATTGGCTTCAATTTTAGATTCTAAAATTTCAATCTTTGTTGAGCAGAAATCTAAATCTTTTTTCAAAGTTTGTGTTTGAATTTTTGTAGAATTGAGCTCCTCTTCTTTATTCCTGTATTGATTTCTCCAATCAGACACTTCATCGCTCAAATTTTTTTTATCATGCTTTAATAATTCAATATTTTCATTTCTCTTCTCTAGTTCCAAAAACATTTCAGATTCTCTCTTCTTGTATCTTAGTAAGTTGTTTTCGTTCTCTGATAATTTCATTTGAAGCTTCATTTTCTCATCTTGCATACCATCCAGAGTAATTTTTGATGCTTTACCATCATCAAGCAAAATTTTTATTTCATTTTTAAAGCTTTCGTTTTTTCTTTCTAATGCTATAACATCATGTCTCAAGTTTGAGTTCATTTTTCTAAGTTCGTCTATTTCGTAGGTTTTACTCTGTAATTTTTCCTGAAGTTCTTTTATGCAATTTTCAAACGATTTTTTATTTTCTTCTAAACGTTTCTCAGTTTCCGCATTATTCTCATTTAAATTTGTTACTACAGTTTTCATATTTGCATTTTCTTTTTCTAAATTAATACATTTTTCATTGAGATTAAAATTGTTCTTTTCAAGCATGCTGTACTGATTTTGTAGTTCTGTTATTTCAAGCTTCAGCGTCTTATTCTTTCTTTTCTTACTCTCAATTTTTGTGCTCATTTGTTCTTCCTTCTTTGCAAAAGTTTCTAAATTGCATTTCAACTGTTCCTCTAATAACTGCTGAGTCTTTAATTCAATTTTCAGCTTATCTTTTTCCGCAATACATTTCGACATTTTCTCTCGTAACATTGAAATCTCGTATGCCTTGTCGTTCAACTCGTCCTGGCAGTGAGTGAGCTGCAATTTTAAATCAGAATTATTGGACTGCAGTTCGATTGCATTGTTTGACAGGGTTTGTTTGGATGCTTTCACTTCCTCTAATATTGTTTCCAAAGAAATTAATTCGTTCTTCAGGCTGCTTACTCTATTTGCTAATTTCGTCTCTCGCTCGTTCGAAAGTTCTAACTGTTGTTTCAAACCATCGCAGAAAATTTCGAGTTGTTTGTTTCTAATTTTCAGTTTGCTCATTGTTTGTTGGTCGTCGACGAGTTTATTGTGGAGATCCTTGCAACATTCTTCGGTTTTGCTTATCTTAAAAAATCAATCAACCATTATTCTTGTACTGAAACTTATTGATGAAAAATATTTAGTAAGGTTTAACTCTACTTTGGCTTGTAAATTTTGCTCTTTGAATTTGAGTTGTTTGTTTTTCATGTCCAACATCATCAATTGACAAACATCTCCATTCATAGTGCCACCAACATTCAGATCCATTTTATAATTTTTTGTTGTCGCTCTTTCAAAATTAAGTTAAAATATTTTATATGAGTTTAATTGGAAGCTAAAAACAAATTTTGACTTATTTTTGGGTTGAAATGTGTCTTTTTCAACAAAATTTTCCAAGATATTTTTCTTATCTGCATAAATGAAATAATATATTGGCATATCGGATAAAAAATAAATGAATTTCGTTTGTTTAACTTGAATTGCTGAGACTTTTACATAAACTTTTTTCCAGACTGTTTTTCATTAACTGCAATTCATTTATCTGCCTCGTTAAATGACGTTGTTGAAATTCAAGTTTCAAAACATTCTCGGCGGAAAAATAATTACATTTGGCAATTTGGAAATGATTCACATGGGATAACATGTGGTAAATGTTTGGGTGCGAACGCTTCAAACTCTCAACTACAGCCTGCAAACTTGTGAATGAAGTTTCTTATTTCAACACTCATCATTACAATATTTGATTCAAAATGTATTAAAAATAACTCTACAAACTTTAATTCATTTTTTTTAGATTTAGCCAAAGATTGCTCAAGAAGAGTGATTTCGTTCTTAAGAAACTTTTCTTGTTCCAACAACATTTCAATGCTATGATGATAATTGTACCTTGATAATGTATACAAATCTTGAATTCCCAGTTTCAAATAAAAAATTTGTTTATGTAATTATTATTAAATCAAATGCTTATCTAATAATATTCAAACTTAGAACGCAGTATAGAACGCAATTGATTCGAGTGAAACTTTTTCAATTGAGTTTTATATAACAATTATCCTAGTCTATTCATTGTTAATTATTCTTTATAGAAAAATATATATTGGTTATGTTTACAAATTGTTAGATCATTTTTGTGATCAAATTTGTAACGTATCAAAGAAATACATTTAATTAAAATAAAAATAACTTAATAGAGTGTTGTATGTCTTCAAAGCAGGTCAACTTCTGTAAGAGATCTTGTCTTCTTGAATCGAAAATTTTTCTCATTATTTCCCTATCTTCATCCTAAATTTAGGTTTACAAAAATATTTTTGAAATCAAAACTTTACTCAACGCATTGGTGAAAAAAACGTTCTATACAAAATCACTTCTTCAAAGTTTGTATTCATTTCCTTGAAACTCATCGCATTATTTTCAGGGCTCCTAAAGAAATTTCCAAGAAGTTCGTACATCTTACATCTGTCGTCATAGCTTTCGGATATTACACTTTCAAAATTTCGATAATATAATCCATTTGAAGTTGCGTCCGACTCAAAATATTTTTGGTCATGGTGAGGTAGTTGGTAGCGAAGTTTTTTAAGTTTTACTTCTTTCAAATCTTCGCGAAGAACTTTTATTGACGCTTCCAAATGTGATATATGATCTTGATCACTCATTCTCATTAGCTCCAACTCATTCAGTTTTTCTACTAGGGTTTCGCTTTTATTGAAGGAGGCTTCGAGCTCGTTTTTAAGTTTTTTGTTTTCATCTAAAAGAGCTTCAATAGTAACTTCGCATCTGACATGCTTCGTTTCAAGATGCTGCAGTGATTTTTCCATCTTCAGACTTGATTGTTTGATTTCGTTTTCTTTTGATTTCAGCGCTGCAATATCCTTTTTTAATGATTGATTTTGGTTGACTAACTCTTCAAGTTTTTCCTGAGTTTTTTTATTATCAATTTCTTTGTTTTTCAAATTTGATTCAACAACTGCGAGCTTATTCCTAAGATTATTTGACTCGTTTTTAGCTGCGTTTTCTTTTGATTTGAGTTCATCTGTTAAGTCCGTTAATTTTTTTTCAGCACCGATTAATGTTTCTATTTTATTTTGAAGAAGAATTAATTCTTCGTCTTGAGATTTCATCAACACCATCGTTTTTTCACTCTGCTTCACAACTTCTTCGTATTTTTCGCGGCCTTTTTCAAATTTTTGATTAGAATCTGAAAGCTTTTGGGTTAAATTACTAATTTGTTCAGACAATTCTAACTTCATTTTGTTGAATTCATCTCGATTATTTTTCAAGTTTTGTGACATTTCTAAATTAACATTTTCAATAAATTTCAATTTTTCCTTTGAAATCTTGCATTCACTCTCCAGTCGACATATAGTCATTTCCTTCTCAACCAACGTTTGCGATTTATTGCAAATGTCTCTTTCCAAATTAATTTTTTCATTTTTAATTTGTTCACAATTTTTTTCATTGGCAATTTTATCGATTTGACTTTTGTTTAAATTATTTTCTAACTTTTTATTTGTATGATTTAATTCTGATAGTTGATTTTTACAGCTAGTTATTTCAGTATGTAATTTCTGAATATTATGTTTCAGTGTAGCATTTTCTTTATTACAAGCTTCTAATTGTTGCTTCATTTCAGCGTTCTCACTAGAAAGATGGTCAGTTTCAGTTGAATGTCGACTTTGTTGTTGCTTTAACTGCAGTCTCAACTTTTCAACTTCTATAATTAAATCTACATTTCTTTTTTCAAACGATTGGATTTCTAATTTCAATTGTTTCGTCAAATCAGTTTCTTGAATCAATGATGTCTTGAACAGAGATTTATTTGAATTTTGATTCAACCACCTTGCATCTCTAGCGTTATCGTTGTTTTTCGTTTTGTTAACTGCATCCAAATCTGGTTTGATTTTCTTAATCTTTTTTCCATCATGTTGAATGCTTTCCATAGTTTCATCCTGGTTGACACCCAAATTAAACTTTGTTGGTTCATTAATTTTATAATCATCATCATTATAATTTAAAATATTATCGTTATAGCTGAATTTAGAGTTTAGTTTCTCTTCAAAATGTTTGCGATCATTCAATTCATACTGCTTTCCAAGCATGTACACATCAGAAAATGTGGCGTCAAAATTTTCAACCGATTTCTCAAACGACAATTCATCAGCAACTACGGTGACAATATTGTTGTCCTTCGTTGTTGTTGCATTGCTAGGCATGGACTGATCGAGATGGCAGAAACATTCTGCAACTGTCGGGTCGTCATCGTATCCGCACTGACAGTGCTTGTACTCCGAAAACATTTCTTATGCCAAACTCACAAAGAAATAAAATCAACTTGATCAATATGTTTTTTGCCTGTTAAATTATCTTTTAGAATAATTATAACTCTTATATTATTATTACATTACATTATATTATAATATATTATATTATATACTATAATTTAATATTATATTATATTATTTCATATTATATATATATATATATATAATACAATATTATATTATGTTATATTACATTACATTATAATATATTACATTATATCAAATATTTAATTATTATATTATATATAATTTTATTACCTTACTTAACTCTTATTTTAAAACAACATAGAAGAATGGTTGCAGTAAAATGTTTTTGAGCAAGGTGGTTGTTATGGAAATGTGGCTCCCTGCCATGCCCGCATCAATTATTAATTCGTTTCTCTTATTCTTACAGTATGTTGGATGTTCATCACAGAATGCAGTAACTTTGCTATCGACAGAGAAACTACTAATAATGAGAAAAAATAAACTTTTTGGGTCAATAAAGTATAAGTGTATTAAAGATACAACCAACAGTTGATAACCTACTACATTGAAAATGTTGAAGGATTACCGAAATGCTTTTTTTGTTTAAGATAAAAATTAATAAGGAATAAAGGAGTAATGAAAGACTTTGTTCTCTATATAAAAAAATTAAAAAACAATAATAAAAATACGGTAAGAAATATTGAAAAACTGAATCAGAAATTGATCAAAACTGAAAATGTAGCGACATTTCTTAATGATATATATTATTATATATCATTAAGAAATATTTGTCTTTCACTTGGAAAGACAAACACAATATATATATATATATATATATATATATTTATATTTATATATATACATATATACATACACGTGCAGTCGTTTAAAAATCACAGCATTGCAGGCATTGTTCAGTTTCCAATTCTTTATTGTTTAATTTGCATAGCTTATTTATTTTTTATATATACTTATTTATTCATATTTTGCTGAATTCGATCAAAGTTATCTTACGTTTCTCTTTTAAGCTTCCAAACTTTCTTATCAACTTCTTATGATCGTAATTCAAATGGTGAATCGTATTTACAAGAGTCATTTTAAAATTAATTAACGAGGTAACGTTCAACGGAATTCGTTATCTGTATATATGGTTTAAAACAAAAGAATCTATAAACTTTTACTTTCATTTTGCAGATTCCAAATTATGCCAATTAACTACAGAACTAGTCAAAGAACAACGGAGAAAATTAACGCTCCAAAAATGTGCAATTTGTTGTACAACTGAAAGTTTTTATAAATTTTCTTAGTGTTATTGTTTTATTTATTTATTGTCTAAATGTTGAAAATATTTACAGTCAGAACTGTTTTTGAGATGCACGAAGCCTATAAACATGTTAATCTTAAATGATAAGATGTCGACGTATTTTTAATAGGCGCAGTGAAGAAAATATCTAAACTCAACATCGGATTTAAACTTTATAAAACCCAGAGCTGTTTAAAATATAAAAATTTTTAAAGTTCAAATAATTACATTCATATTCAAAACTCAGAAACAGGATTTTTTCCTTGCTGGAAAGGTTTTAACTTTTTCGCCACTACTGGCTCCATATCGTTTTACGAGTGGTTTGTTTTATTTTGTGATAGGATTTATTTTCAAAATATTATTTACAATTTAAAATTTTCAGTTTTTTAAATTTCCGAAAGTTTGGTTTAATTTGAGGCGTCTGTCAAGTATGAATATTCTGCATCTAAGCTTGTTCAAAATTTTGGAGTGAACTTTGATTTTAGATACTTTAGATAATTTAATTTTTAGTTTCAATTTTTATTATTTTTAATAATTTTCAGATACTATACTCAAATAATTAAACCAAAATTCAAATAAAATATTCAGAGATAGTTGGTTAAATATAAGGTTTTAACATTAAATCATTTTTATTCATAACAAAATTCTAATGAAGAAAAAATTTTTGGAGCGGATGTTATAAGGATTAATTAAACGTTTATAATAAACTGAAATATTTTGTTTTGTTTTGCAACGCAAACTGTGTAGTCAATTTAAATTATTTCAAGTCATTGTTGTTTCAAATAGATTTTTTACTTTTTTACTTCTTTCCCCATAGCAATGACATTTAGAAAATAATTTCAAAAGTGTTTCTACATAAATTTATTTACTGTACATTTGAGAATACTACCCAATACAGATGCAGATGTGTCAAACCATCATTTAAATCTGAGCTAGCTTATAGGCAAGCGATACTTCTTCCAAGATTCATGCTCACATTCTCAAAATATGTTTGCCGTACAGCATAAATTTTTGTTGATGAACTGTTCATTCTGCTGCTTGTTATGATCTGCAGGCTCAACGTACTTACAAACTTTTTGCGCCAGTGCGCTAATGCACCAATGCAGATACAAATGTTTTTGTTCTAAGTTTGTCCAAAATGGGTCAGGGCATTTGCATGACAAAAATTTCAGCCCTAAGCTACAGCTTGTGTGGCTTGTAAGCAATGCAGTGCTTTCTTTTGGTTGTACCTTATTTTAAACATTAAGAGTTGCACAACATAAGCACGATGAAGTTAATCATTTTGGTTTAATTGTTGTCAGTGTCGCCTAAGCATTGTGGGAAAAGTATTTAGATTAACTGTAGAACTTGGCTATGATTTCAAATACTTTTATTGAGTACTATTAGTAGTTTTGTTCTAAAAATGAACAGCATCTGGTATCAAATGATATGGGAAGAGCTGAAAACCCGTACAGTACCAAGCAGTAGTACAGATCTTCAAGAAAAGAGCACCAGACGACATAGATCTGCAACCACGCTACTGGACAACGTCTTGTCAGATAACGCTGAGTACCATTGAAGGCCCAAGTTTGTGTATATCTGCAAGAATCAGTCCAGCCTCTCTATCGAACCCTGAGTATTGTGTGCTTTTTAATTTTTATTTAAAATTGCATGCTGCGGACATGGACTGGCCAAGATTTTTCGTTACGTAAATGAAAAAGCCGTTCGACTAATTGATAAACAATAATCCAGGCTTTAATAAAATTTGATAAAATAATTCAAACGATGGAATGAAAATGAAGGGTGTCTGAATTATGATAACAGAAAAGATGTTGATGATAAATTGAGTTGTTATACCAGTCTAAATAACATTTTTAAATTTGCGTCAATAACTTTTTATAAATTCATTTTTCTTATTTTCATTCATTTTTTATTTATTTGTCTATTTATTTATAGTTGCTCATTTAATTAATTTTGAATGAATTGAACTGAGCGTAACTGGATAAATTGCTTCTCAACTTGTTTAATTTTAAAACATGACATCACATTCTACATGGTTCCGAAATTATTGATCAGAATTAATGGAAGCCCTCAGTTATTTTTGCTGATATGGACTGGAAACATGTTCGTATAGAGGCGGATCTAGACAACCTTGACAGGCGGCCAAGATTTTCAAAAAATTAATTGACGACGTTGGGGGCCATTTTTCAAACAAAAGCTACCTTACGACCGGAGGGAATTTTTTACAAATTAAAATAAAAATATTTTAATTTTAACGGGACTCATTTTTCTGGAAATGTGGCACATTTTTTTTTTCAAAAACACTACTTTTTTTAAAAACAACCTCTTTTACCACCTTTCAATATTAATAACGCTTACAACGCGGGAGCACTGGCCCCACGGTCCCCCCTAAATCCGCCACTGTTTTTGTACACATAACGTTGTTTCTCTTGTGATTTTTTCATGAAATTTACAAAATCAAACTGGTAAATGTTTATAAACTCATAAACGATTTTATAAATATAACTTTGTAAGCTATTTTTCCCACTTATTTTTGTCAGAAATTGTTATACTTATTATGTTAGTATCAATAAAATGATTTTATAAATAATATTTTCAAAGCCTTTTTTAGTAGATTAACTGTAATGGTTTTAATAAATTCCATCATTATCATATTCTAATTTCCACAGATTAGCCATATAATCGGCGTGAGCTGCATCAGCTTCATTATAGTTGTATCCTTTGAAATAAAAAATAACATTGAAATAAAAATCAATCAATCAGTTTGTAAAGCGCTATTTACGCCATGCTCAACAGCGCTTCTCAATGAATTTTACAAACAGATGGGTCTTGAGATCCGCTCTGAATTTCGTAAGTGATAGAGAAGTAGTTAGAGAAGGTGATAGAAAGTTCCAAAAAAAGGGCCAAAAAAAGCAAACACAGATTCAGCAAAAAGTGTTAAACACAAGTTAAGAAGAAGTGAGAATAAAAAGACGATTGTGAACCAGGGCGTTTATGTTTAATTAATATACCTGATAAGTATTGATACTTATGAAATTATTTAGATTATGACTTGCACGTTGATGTATTAAATTTAAAAATTATTCTATATTATATATGAAGTCTGTTTAAGGAAACAAAATATGAAGAAATAGGAAAAAAGATAAGGACAATAGCAACTAGACGAGTAGCATAGTTGAAAGCTTTTTTTGAAGGATAGAGTATAGAATTAGGAAGAGCCTTAGAGCAAGTTACAATAATCAATCCTTGATAAAACTAAAGAAGTAACAGGAAGGAGAAGAGTTGGATCACCAAGAAAAGGCAAAAGTTTTTATTCCACGTTTCTAAAAATAAGAACTTTTAGCAAAACTACTAATCTGAAAAGCAAGAGACATGCTAGAATCAAAGATAAAGTCTAAACTACAAAACTTATGAGAAAATTGAGTTTCATAATCAATTAAGATACATAGTTTAAAAAAAATAACATTGCAACAAAAATTCAATAAATAAATGAATCAAATTAACGTCTCGGAGTGATGATGTTTGGAAAGCACGAGCATCTCTTGCAGTAGCACTCCATGACATTCCTTGAACATTCAAAATGCTCTGGACACTTTGGGTTTCGATCTTGGCAGTAACAGTAATAATTGGCAACCGTATAAGCCTGGAATATGTACGGGTCAAAAGGTTTGTTTTCAAGGTTGTCATCGCAAAAGCTTGATTTCAA